GGACGACCCATTTACACTTTTTTTAATAGTACCTTCACTTGAGATTTCTTGTTTTAGGAAAACAAAAGAAAAACAGAAAGCGAAATACGACTTAAATAAGCGCATCGCGGCCAGACTTATTTGACAGCTAGTCATTCACAGTTGCGTTATTTTTGCATACATAATTAGTAGGCGGAATGGCGAAAACAATGGTTTCCTGGCAGGCGTTTCCCTCCCTCTCTTCCTCCTCGCGCGCCCCTCGCGTTTCCCTCGCGCCCAAAACCCCCTTTCCCTTTCCTTTCAAACGCCTGCCACGCAGGCTACCTCGTTATTACGACCATATTCTTTCGACCCTCACTTAAAAATCACTGAATCATTTTACTATTTTGAAGACCCCGTTGATGGGAACACCTTGTTATTACAACGAGGATTTTGTGGCCCACAGTGGTCGCATTAACTTGGTCCCACTGTATGTACAAAAACAGCGAGTGATAATTGAGCACAAAAATGATGATTTTTAACTCATGCCAATCATTTAGTAACTTCATTTATTGCTGCCAAAGCAAGACTTAATTTGCATTTGTAAGCAAAAAACTTTTTCACCGGTCTCATCCATAAATTCAGGTTAAGCAGAGAAAGCTTTACATGTAAAAACTGCCAAACCGAATTTCGTCTCTTTCTTCGTGTTGTCGGGAACAGCTTCTCCGTTTATTTGTGGAATTTCTTCGTTTGTTACGGTAGCAAACGGGAAAGCCATTTTGCTTGTAACTTCTCAAGGGGTTTAAGGCCTGGGTCAAAGGTGTGTTCGGAGCATAAAAATGATTAGCAGGGACTGACCATTATTTTTTCTAGAGGGGGGGCGGGGGGATGAGAAATTATCCTCTGCAAACATTTTTTTAAAAACATAAATGTCTCCGCAAACATTTTTTCCCATCGTCATCTTCTTGCAAACAATTTCTTTCCTTTTTTTCAGTGTTCTTTTTATTTGTGCTGAATATTACCATTGCCTTATTTTAAGAAACAAGCTCAGACAGAGATGAAACAGGCAGTTACTCATCTGCTGATGAGCATTCTGAAATTGAGCCATTATGAATTAAAATATTCTTCACAATTTCATCACTGTCTGAGCTAAGCCTTGTTTCAGCGGAGTGGTTGTCAATATCCCATTTTTTTTTCAAACATTTGCCCTCCATGCGTGAGATTGATGTCTTAATGACAGTTGGCAGGTATATAATGATACTGTCTTGCTCCATGCCCGTCTAAGGTAAAAGAACGGAAAGGTGCAAAACTGCTTGTAAGATCAGCATACAAAAACTTTTCAAGGACATTTAAAAAAAGAAAAAACTCTCCATATAAAATGTCACGTATTAGACATTATTCGTTATGTGGCATTATTTCATGTCGTTCATGTAATTCATTGACTTTTGAAATACGTGTAAGTAGTAATGATAAATATAGCAAAGTTTGAAGAATATTAATTGTTTAATACAGTTTTGAGAAAAATACCTGGTATATGAAGTTTTGTGGTAGGACAAAATGTTGACAAGTAACATTGAGATTTAATTGCCACAATAAATTCCCATTTTTTTAAGAAAGAATCAGCTATCTTCAGATTTGTTATCAATCTCGTTCTCAGATTATCTCTCCTACTCCGTGGTAGGAGAGAACCCTGGAAACGAGGTTGATTTGATGTTTGCTATCAGGCCACGTCCGAGTTCCAAAAACCCTCACTTTCAAAATGAGGCCAAGTGCACAACCTTTCTTGTGAAAATGAGTTTTATTTGCATGAGAATGAAAAATCATTTCTATATCAAAGGCTGAGCACTTAAACTCGTTTTGATACAGAGGCCCGGGAGAACTCGAAAATGGCCTATTCAGAGTGACCACTATTATTTTTAAGTACCCAGATCATGTTAATTCTTATATTTATGCTTCAATTTGTTACTTTATTTTTCTTTATTTACTGCAATTTTTTTTTTACCCTGTCACGTTTGCAAACAATTTATTTTGTCTTTTCAGACCCTGCAAACAATTAACAATAAATATTTGAGGCGGAGCGCAAAGTATAAAAGGATTTGCGACGCTGAAGAATGTCGTAAACTTGCAGTTTGCTTCCGAAGTGAGGCCGGAAGTTGTTCAAGATATCTTTAAGAAAGTCAAGATTACACAAGTTACATGCCTGCATGGAAAAAAGTTTGCGGACAGAAATGTGTATAACGATAAGAGTGATTACTGGAGATTATTGCAGCAAGAGTGATTCGAAAGAGGAAGATTGAGGAAGTGGTACGGTCGTTTGCGTTGCGTGTAGACGAAACGATTCGGTAAAGCGATAGATTGCTTGTCAATTAACAAGGAGAAGCAAAACGCAGTTACCGTGGTTTCGTAACCGTTGTGATAAAGCATCATTATCATTGTTCTTCTTTTAGTTTTGTTTGTAAGAGTAGTTGTTTTTATACTTGTTTTTGTATTGCGTGTTATTGCTGACCGCCGCTCGGTTAGCACAGTTGGGAGACCGCCGGTCTGCTGAGCGGGAGGCCGTAGGTTCAAACCCCGGCCAGACCAACACTCAAGGTCTTTAAATAACTGAGGAAAAGTGCTACCTTTGTAATAACATCTACAAATGGTTAGACTTTCTAGTCTTCTCCCCGGGGGGGGGGGGGGGNTCAGGAAAATGATCAGTTGGTTGAAGATTTTATCTAGACAAGGGAAACAGCTACTCTAGGATAGGGGGATTTGGGGAGTTTACTCTAGTATAGGGTAGCAAAATTCAGCTGAACTAGCTCTGGTATAGGTTAAGGGTTCCAGGGTCCCAGCGGCACATCCCCACCCAGAAATTCCTAAAGTACCCCCCCCCTCGGGGTCTTCTCGGATAAGGACGATAAACTGTAGGTCCCGTCTCACAAGCCCTTGCACATGTAATAAATGTGTGGGACGTTAAAGAACCCACACACTCTTCGCAAAGAGTGGGGTACGTAGTGCCCGGTGTAGTGGTCTATCTCACTTTCACACTCATGTATGGGGGCATCATCACTCATTCCTTCAGTACTTGTAAACTGCACCTTAAACAGTCTGGCAAAGTCCTCCAACCAGTGTTGTAAATTATCCCTTAAAAGCCCTATGGGGAGTGGATAATAAGATATTTACAATTTCATGTAACTAGTTATAGTTGTCACTAAATCTGCCCCCGACCTTTTAAAACCCGAATGAAGACTCCTTGTGGTTGTCCATGTATTTGCCATGAACCTTTGAAATGCAGTTTTCGTATTAGAGTTTCTGAGTATAATTCTTTTGTTCTCTTTTGCGTTTTCTCAATTATTACACTTTGTTTCCTGGGTTAATGAAAATCCTCATACATGACATGCCTAGGATGGACAATTGTTTTTTATACATCTCATAATGAGTTCAACCAACACTGCAAATGTAATAGAACGCGTGTTAAACAGCAAAAACATCTTTTATTATCTATTTGTAACTAAATTTCCTATAACTAATGTGTCGAACGGATGCTTTGGCTTCGAGGGTGACATTCTTGAACGCAACGTCGAACGCAACTGATATAAATGATTTCGCAATAAACTAACCCTACAAAAACATGGACCACTGTTTCAAGTTTCTCACCTTTGAGATATTTCCCAGTTCATTTTTTCTGGCATGTCCTTGTATCAAATAAAATAATCGGGATTTCGCAATAAACTAACCCTAAAAACACATGGACCACTGTTTATTAAACTCTGAATACCTTAATATAGAACAAAACCCGGTTATTTCACGTTAGCACAGTTTCTTGTCTTTGACTGGGTTTTGAGAAATTTGAGCTACTCCTGATGTGGTTTGAATCGAGTTTGTCGATCCACATTGACAAAACCAGTTCAAAGTTCTGTCGATCCACGTTGCTGATTTGTGTCTGACAAATCAAGTTCTTTAATACCAAACAAACAATTGCAGTACGGCTGAATAACGTTTTAACTCTATAGAAATATGTATCTCGCAATAACATTCGCGAAACTCGGTTTGGTAACGGCACTCAAGTTAAGCCCGTGTCGGTCGGGGTTACGAACTGGACGGGTGACCAACCGCGAATATCGTGTTAAAGGTCCATACGTTGTTCTTTCTTTTCTTCTTCTTCTTTTTTGCGTATTATGTAGTGTTATTGTTAACAGTGTATTGAAAAGCAGATTTAGCATTATTTCGCCGCCCGCATTTAGAAAAAGACAAAAACAAAGAACAAATATGGCCCGGTGCAGTTCGCCTGAAAATTATTCTTATTCGGGTCGTAATACGGAGCTGAAACTTTGCAGACTTTGATCTATATATCTGCGGGGAAACCGGCAAACTAAGAAATCTGGGTTTTCGACAGTGTAAAACGATCATAATTCCCTTGATTCCAATCTCCTGTTCCTCTGTCTGTTGTTGTCGGCGTTGCCTTCGCTGTGCTCATCGATGTTCCTTCTACTCCGCGGTTTCTTGTTGACGTCTTCTCCTTCGTTGTTCACGCTGATTTGAAGTCGGCGTTCTCGCTCTAGAGGAGTTTAGGTGGAAAATCTTCCTGGGCGAGGATTTGGAGCCACTTGTTGTGCTTGTGTGCCACACAATTCGGCGAATGCGACTCGTTGACAAACCCAGTTTGCGCGGTTGCTGAGCCAGGCGCACATGCTGAAAATTAACCGGGACCACCGTACGCGCCTAGTTTCATCAAATTGGGAAAGTTTCGCATACTAACAGTAAGACGATACGATACTTCTTCTTTACGCAAGGGACATTAGGGTGCCTCCTCGGAGAGGCCGGAACCCTGCGGGGGCAATAATTTATTAAAGCTTGTGTTATTGCGATGTTGTATATGAATTATCCTCGGTGTGGAGATTGTGTATTTTTAGCAAGTTTTGTAAAGGAATGTACTGATGTTAGTTACGTTGCCGGAGAAGGTGTGGGATTAACTGTACATAAGGAAAGTGTTGTTATAGAGGAAATAGAGGAAGTGGAACTGATATCTCGTCGTGCGCAATTTATTTATGACAGAAATT